CGCGGGCCCGGCGCCATTCAGCAGCGGCGTCCCCTCGTCAGGCGGCAGCGCGGACCTCGCCGTCCTCCGCAGCAGCGGCGCCGCCTCCTCGTCGTCCAAGTCGCGGCCGGACCACGACACCTTCTTGGAGACGTTGGCCATGATCCGCCGCGAAGAGGAAAGCCGGCCGGGAACGCCCGCAGCCCCGTGTTTGGCCCCGTGACCCGGCGCCGGGCGGTCACGTGATACGCGCGACGGCGGCCGCGGAAGACCATGCGCGCCGGGGCCTTCTGGGAGTTGTAGTTCCGGCCGGCCTATCTTGGGCTCATTACCGCCCTTTACAAACCGGGTCGCTGGCCTCTTCTTATCGCGGGTTCACGCTGGGACCTGAGGCTGGGCGCTGTGAAACCGGAAGAGGTGTCCTTGGAATTTAACTTGTTTAAACAGGGCAGATAGGAGCTCTGGTAGCATAGTGCCTAAGGCACTTGACTGCTAACCAGAAGGCTGGCAGTTCAAACCCACCAGCCACTCTTCGCAAGGGAGGTTGGGCAATCTACTTCTGTAGTGATACCACCTCGGAAACCCAAGGAGGGGTCGCTATGAGTCAGGTCTGACTCGACAGCACACGACAACAACCACGGCAACAGGCAAGGCTGACTTGAACCACTTTAAAGAACAGAGGTTGGTCCATCGATCAATACACAGTTGTTAAACGCACAGAAGCTCCGCCCTCCTGTCTGGCCCAGGGTCTCCCTCACCCTCTGGCTCTCTACTCCGCTGAACAGGACACCTCCCTCCAGCATCCATCCGTCCTGATGACGCGTGCAGACCTTACTAACCCCTGCCGTGGGGTCCATTCCGACCCACGCACCCCGTGGAGGCAGAGTAGAACTGCTCTCCGGGATTTTGAAGGCTGTGACCTTTTGGAAGCAGGTGGCCGGGGGCCGCTGGGTGGGTTGCAACCGTCAATCTTTCAGCCTTTCAGCTAATAGTCCAGGCTGTTTGGCCATCCAAGGACTCCAGTAATAGTATTTAAAAAAAAAAAGGAAAAAAAACAGCCTATGGCCCACCAGTGCATTCCAATTCACAGCCACCTGGAAGACAGAGTGGAACTGCCTACAGGGTCTCCCAGGCTGTCAATCTTCATGGAAGCAAAGCCCAAACCACACCCACTGCCTGGAGTCCATTCTG